GATGATGCTCATGCTGGTTTTGCATGTGCGACAGGCCATGGCTGGAGAGGCCACGAACGCCACGGCTCCAGTGGCTTCAGCAGCGGAGTAAGTGGTCGCAGATGTTCCACTTGCTGTTCACTGGTGGCATCATGTGATTGGAGGACCAGCGGCCCCAGTGGAGCCAGCGGAGCCATCGGCCCCAGTGGAGCCAGCGGAGCCATCGGCCCCAGTGGAGCCATCGACCCCAGTGGAGCCAGCGGAGCCAGCGGCCCAGTGGAGCCAGCGGAGGAGCCAGCGGCCCAAGTGGAGCCAGCGGAGGAGCTAGCGGCCCGAGTGGAGCCAGTGGAGCCAGCGGCCCCAGTGGAGGAGCCCAAGGAGCCAGCGGAGTCAGTGGAGGAGCCAGCCAAGGAGCAAGCGGCCCCAGTGGAGCCAGCGGCTTCATCCGGAACGTCATGGTGGGAGGGCCAGAGTGCCGTGGATGACGCTGCGGAAGCTGCGGAAGTTCGCAGGCGAGGGCAAGAAGCACTTCGGCAAATGCAACACAGAACCCAGCGACGGAAGCATCTGGCCAGAGAGGAGGCCGCGAGAAATCGAGAGCAGGCGATTCAGCAAGAAGTCGACCGGCGACTCTCTGTGGCAGCAGGTGGCTGCATGAGAGAGTGCTGCGGCTCGCGAAGGCATGGCCATGCCTTTTCTCATGGAGGTGCTTCAGGCTGTGGTAGGTTTGGTGAGGCGCCAAGAAGAAACACAGGCCCTTCTCCAGCGCAGTTTGGAAGCTGCCGCGGTCAAAAAGAAGAAAGAAAAGAAAAAGGCCAGAGTCGAAGCCCCGGAACACCAGTCAAGGATGACCACGATGACAAATCAGATCGCGGTCCCGGAGATGCTTTGGGCTCTTCTGATCCGGCGCTGATAGGGGCTTACTAGGACAGCTGCAGCAGCACAACGTGTTACCACGACCCCCCCCGTCCCCAAACGGATTCCCCATGGAATGTCTCTCTTCCAGCCGAAGTACTGTCATCTCCTGGGCATAGGCCGGGCAAGAGGAATCCGTGGGCAGTGGGCGGCCCACCGAGGGGTGGCGTTCCCCGCTGCTTTTTTTGAAAAGGGGTGCCGCGTGCT